ACTGCAAAGATTCTAGACAAGCTGAAATGAAGACAGACAAGAGTATTTTTTATATAAAAATGGTCTTTATTTCTTCAATACAAGGTAAACTACTATTGCAGTTTAAGACCAACACAAAAGTTGGACAGCAAATTGCTTAACAGTCTCCTAAAGGCTGAAAAAAAAGAAACCCATGAAAGCTAAGAGTTACGCAATATTTCAAGTATAGCATCTAAAAAAGATGAAGCGATCCCTAATCTTAAACTAAGTACCTCTGCTGAAAATGTATTAAAATCCGCATTTGCTAGGATACCATCTTACCTTGTTGAGAAATACAGGTCTTCAGAAACTCAAGTATTCAACAGACTCTTTGGCCTGCCAGTACCAGGAAACTGTCTATATACGTATAAAATCCTTTGGAGTCAGCCATTCTGACAGACATCCATTTCCTTACATTTTGCATTGCAATTCTGCATTCCAACTTCGACAAGCCCCCCTGCTGTATTTCAAAACCATTTCTTGAATAGTTTACTCGTACATCCTTGTGCAAAATGGGAATCAGGAAATGGAATGGTACAGGAAGACAATACAGCCTTTTGTTTAGAAAGTCAGCAGTGCTGGTAATCGTCATAAAAATGTTAAGGTTTACCAAATAGGAATGTATTTCATCTTTAAAACACTTGGCTTTTTTTTTTCCTTTTTTTTTATTTTAAAAAAGGACACCTGCAGTAGTAAGGAAACTGAATTTGCCATCACTTGTATTTATAAAAGCACACACATTCCTCATTTTCTTACATTTGAAGATCAAGGGAATGTCTGTTTCATAATGTAATAATAATATGCACAGTTTAAAATATTTTCTATTACAAAATACAGTATACAAGAGGGTGAGGCCAAAGTCTATTACTTGAATATACTCCAAAGTGTTAGCACTGAATCATGTAAAATCACATTACATGGTATGAATAGATGGGAATTTTTACAACTTAAATGCTCCATTTCATTGGGATCAGAGGTGTACTGTTTACTATTTTCAAGAGACTTCAATAGAACTAGTGTATTTCCAAAGAAGCTTTAAAAGATTTAAGCACAGACATAGGTCATACCAGAACCTAAAACCCGCTGCAATAACTGAGGCTATAGAAAGGATTCAAGAACTAACAAGTGCATAATATACACATAGAATGAGATGCTGTATCGTATTTTGTCCAACATGGGGGGGGGGGGAATCCCACGAGAACATCAACTTGAGGAACTTCTATGCTCCAAACTGCTCCTTAGTAATTAATCCTCTAAAGCTAAATGAATCTAAAAGTACATAGCATGTCAGATGTTAATTTCAGGGGGGCGGGGGGAGGGGGCAACAACCAAACCAAAAAACCACCTCAACACCCCCACCCACCCCAAGCCTGTCTGCAATATTAATTGCAAGGCATCATAGTAAACAGTTGCGAGAGACAATATTTCTGCATAAACATCATGACTAATTAGCATGCTGCAACCATTACGTTTAAGACTTATGCAGTCAATTACGAAAATAATTTAGATCCTAAACAAATCCACGTTCCTTCTTTCCTACATCAAAATACTTGTTTTGGAAAGAATTCAATCTTCTTTTAAGTATATGCCCACTGACCCGCACTTTCCTTCTCTGAGATCTTGACGGGTTTGTATTTCAATACAGAAGCAATTTAGTGTCTCGGATCTCTGAAGAGTACCAGTCTTAAACATGCATGTTTTATATTTAAATCTACATGACTAACAGTATCTTAATGAGCATTATGTTAGGAAATTTAAGGCTGTATCCCTGTTTATACAAGAACCAATGATAACTTTAAGAAGCTACGTATAAAATTCTATAAATAAAAAAGGGAACAAAGTCTGTTTAACCTGTACACAGAGAGCAAGTGGATAAGAAAAGGAAATCCGGAATTAAGTATTTCTATAGAGAATACCATGTATTTTTACTAGAAACACAGATGACAAGTATATACACAACATTTAAATCTCCAATTATCCACATACAACTAGGAAAACATTTACAAGGTTTGGGTATGCAACTAAACAATCAGGTAAAAAAATACCGTTAGAAAAACTAAGCCTCACCAATTTCAAAGGAACAAAAATAGAAAACACTCACTCCTTAACAAAAAAAAAAATCAAGCTAATGCCTAAATTTAATAACATATCTTGTTTAACACAAAACCAACAGCTATCCAAGCTTATAAGCCACACTGTAAATAAAAATTTGAAGTTCTGACAAATGTTTTTCAAAATGCAATCAGAACTAAAATTATTGGCACAGAAAGCAAAAAGGGAATGAGGAAGAAAACACTGTACAGTTTCCAAAACACTATGTTCTTCTGAAGAAGTATTTTTGACCTGTCAAAACATACAGTCCAGTAGAAATTTTACTTTTAAAAAAACCCTCTACTTTTAAAAACAAACCTCCAGTAGAACAACTTCTGCTGCTAAAGCACTGCCACCCCGAAGTCACTACTTGTCAGTTTTGTCTTTCAAGATAAAGGACACAGCCTTAGGATATTATTTTCAATGTTACTTATAAAATCAATATTTGAAAGAAATAAAGTGTTTCCTCACGACTATTTTGTCCTTTCATCAGCAAAAGGAGATGAAATAAAATTGGATGAATATCAAAGAGCACAGCAGTAGCCATCATGGCATCATCACCAGTCAGTAAATTACCAAACTGCTACTTCCTGAGCGTGCACAGGAAATTGCCAGTAACATTTAATAAACCAAAACCTGGTAAAAATTCTACTACAGATCCAGTTATACATGATGTGCATTAGACATATTCCTTTTTGGTGTCTATCAGGGTCTTTGGATTTTTTCTGTACATTTTTTGTTTCATTTTAAAAAAATCTAACAAATGAAACTCACAGTAACAAGAGAGTATTATCTAAATTGCAACACAGTACATCTATCAGTTAAAACTAAGTATTTGGAGAACAGGCAGAAATAAGGGGCTTCATATGGGGACCTCATCTCTCAAGTCACAATGATCGCTCAGTTTAACTTATGTTATTTTCCCCCTGCTATTCCCTCCCTGCTATTTCCATTGCCAGCAATGGAAATCTATATGCGAGTGAGAAATTACACTCTGTGTAAAAAGAGCAACAGTCTCCTTAAATCTATTTCAATGTGGAGTAAAGTATCAGTTCCTGCATAAAATGCTTGTAAATTTACTTTTTTATTTTAAGATTTAATATATCTATGCAATGGAACATTACTTACCTGCTGCCTCTCCAGAATTAGCTATTCCCCATGTAACAGCTACAGGCAGGTTATTTCTTCCTTAAACTTATTACACACAGCAGTAAACAATGTTTTTAAGTAAAGAAAAAAAAAAATTACAACAGTACTGTTCTGTTTGTAACCAACACCTATTCACAAAAAGCAGGAAATGAGGCATGACTTGTTTGACACAACTTTCAGTTTTACAAAATTTTAAAAGGCAGTTTTCATTCGCAAACAGGATTAAACAAACATGTCAAATGTCTTCTCAGTAGCAAATCGTTCAATAAACACCAGTGATCCCATGCATGAGGAACTGAGGTACACAATTTAAGGAAAAAAAAAGGGGAGAGTCTGAAGCTGTAGCCAAGTCCAACAGCATCAACCTGGCTGCAGGAAACCTGGCTGAGCGCTAGGTGACAAAAATATTGGAGCATTCCAGACTTAAGCAAAACTTTCGCAGTGGCACAGGCTACTGGTCCCAACTCAGTAAAGCATAAAAATCACTCACGTATGCAAATAAGGTACTTAAAGCATATGTTTACATTCCTTGAAATCTATGGATTGTAAGCACATGCTTTAAATGCTCTGGAAAACCAAATGGATTTAAGTGCTTTCCTGAACAGGGTAACATTTTAGGTCGGCTGTAAAATCCTCAAAATTGGCAGAAAAAAGAAATCAAGAGTTGTCTAAGAGTTGCCTCTTAAAGCCATCTGAGGTCTTGAAACTTAACTTAAAACATTAAGTGCAGCTACTGGAGTAAGTGAAAACTCCAAGAATAAATCCGTTACATAATGATTTACAATAGACTAAAAGTGAGCCTTTGTGCAAGGCTGCCAAAAAACTAAGTTTTTGCAACTTGTATGAACTTTCTATTCGCTTGCATTTCACACTCAATGAAATTTAAAATGAATTCTTATAATTTGAAGTCAACTTTCACTGTGAGCTCCGATAATTTGTTTTTAGGTAAATTTACAAAACCTCATCTGACAGATTTAATTAGCGCCACTTTTTGCTAAGACATTTAAATATTGCCCATCACTGACCAAGGACATACAAGTGTACCTTCTCTTTTATATGCATGTGTAAATAAACCCCGAAGTATTAAGAAAATACCAAACCCATAAAGTCTGAAAAATGGGAACATCTGGTTTCTTCTGGCACATTTCTAATATACAACTATGTACAGACTGCTACGGCCTTGGAGGTGGAGGGGGAACACACACAAGCACTATTACTATAAAACTGTAAACAACTGCAGGGTTTTGTTTTGGTTTTTAAAGCTAACCTTTCCACCCCTTATTAGGGACAGTTTAAGTTCATACGAACAGTTTAAGTTTATATTAACTGTAGTGTCAATCAGGATCAAGGCTGTACGAGAGAAAATTTTCAGCGTGCTAAAGTCACAGACCTGGGACCACCTCTCCTCAAAACAAGAGACCACAAAGAGCTGCAGTTTTTACAGTTTTATATGTCAATTAGCAAATTCACAAGCCACCTAGGTAAACACTGCTAGAAAGCAAAATAGCATTAAAGGTTTTACGTAACCACCTATTTTCATATCAAAATTGAATGTGTGAGAGCAACATTAGTATGTTTAACTCACTGAATGCAAGATTAGGTTGAGGCATATGCAAGAACTATTGCGATGTTTTTAAAGACAGCATCAATGTTTTCATTGTAACATTATCTTTAGATATTGCTGAACACAAGACTTTCCCTGAGGTGTAAACATCAAATAACTTGAACAGCTTTACACATCAGCCCCATTAAACAGTTTATTACAACACTACATCTACTGTAATCAAAGAGGTGCTGTGTACAGACATTATCATATGAACAGTTTAACATGAACAAACTACTATAAAAACAAGCATTTACTTGACTTTTTCCAATTGCTTGCACATTATAATTGCCAAATGTATATAACCAGTAATAAAGTTGCAAAAGCTATAAGGTTTAAATCACACAGGTTTCCCTCAAATAAAACAGTTAAGCAACATAAAAAAGTAAAAGAGCTACTGGTTACCATGTATGCAGATTTGCTTTATTCAGATCTATTCCTGTTCATTTTATCCATGAATCCTTACAGGCTCAGTTCAATCACATGAAGCAAACTGCTGGACAAGCATCGTTCCTTGAAGACTGTATCTTGTCTTGCACGCTGTTCCTCTTCCTTCAGCTGTAATGTGTCAAAATTTGTGATGTAGATTTTGCTAATCCCCATAATACACAGAAAATTGTTGGCTTATCTATACATACACAAGTCGTGCATCTACTTCACCATAATAGAAACTAACACAAAATACCCAGAAGCAGTAGCTACTCGTTTGTGCACGGAATTGTTTTCTAGTACAATAGTTAAAAATAAAATTAATCTTGTTGTACAACGAAGTTGAAAGACCATAAATTTCACAGTTGAAGTACTGAATGATAAAGAAAGAAATAGCTACTGTTCCTGTGACTGAAGGAAACATTTGTATAGAACATTTCCTAAAGTATGCGTTCTGCAAGAGTAAACCAACAAGCACGTAAGGTAATTTTGCCACAACTAGACTTTTACATTTTTACCTGCCCACTTACAGACGTTTTAAGCTGGTTTGACATTTAAGTAATGCACTGGTTGTATAATGAAGTGGATGGCTCACAGCTCAGTAACATTTGAAAGTGCACAGAATCTGATACCAGTACTTCAAAATTTTGACTAGTGGCAAGCAGGATGGGCTTCACACATCTAAAAACACACGCTTGCAGTTTAACCACAAGAACCCACTTTTCAAATAATACAATACAGATTTGCAGGTGTCCTCACCTACTTGCCCTAGAAAAAACCTCAAGCCCTACTTCCTACTCTCATCTATTTTGGCAAATTAAGGAACCACACCATTCAGAGTTAATTACTGTAAGAGTTCACAAAATACTTGGGATGGTATAATTCCATACACTGGATTTCAGTTGAATTCCATTACAAAACAATTAGCTATCTTCATTTCATTAATAATTCACAATTTCAACATTCAATAATTTCAAAATAGTTTAAATCAAATTGTTCAAAAAACCAACACATTAAATTGTTCACTTGAAAAACAAGACATTTAGAGGAGCAATTTCATGAACGTGCACCAGTACACAGCTGTCAAATATTCTTCTACCAGTTTAATAATTTCAAAGCAGTTGGGAAGACAAAGCACTCAATTTTTGCATGAACAATTGACACATTTCTTCTTCCTTTCCTCAAAGTGATTGTTAACAACAACTTTAAAAAAAACCCCGTATAACCAAGAGGGCTCTGTACAGTACAGTATGCACATAAACTAATCCAAATCCAAAGCAGTGACTGGAATTTCTTTTCTTATTCGCAGATTTTGTTCTCAAGTCATGAATGTATCAACCAGTAACCACTTTTTGGGAAGTTCCTTCCCCAGAGACCAAAATTTCGAGAGGTGTTATGTACTTTTAAAATTAATTAGTAGCAAAGTGACACAGTGCTGCCGCCACAAGACGTGTTCAGAGTTGCAAGCTAAGTTAGCACAAACAGGGAAGAATCTCAGTTTTTTAGCAGAGAAAGTAAGTATATGACAGCTGTGAAACTGCACGTCAGAATTTGCTGCTCTCATCATACAATTGCTGCGGCAAGAATTATGGATCTTTATCACTTCTATGGCGACAGTTAACAGATCCAAAGCACCATATATATGATTTATACTACTAGCATAAGAAAGCTTCAGTTCCTGGGAATAATTTACTAGATTTGTAAGGGTACTTGTGGAACTACAGGAACTTTAAAGAATGCAGGATAAACTGGATTTAAGGTTACTGCTTTTCACTATAAGGGTCTTAAGATGGTCAGCACCACACTGAACCTTCATCTTGAAAAACACAACCAACTAAAATCCAAAGTGGTGTACATTTTGGTTTCAAGTATTCTGCCACTATACCTTGGCAAAACCGGAAACCTTTGTGGTTCCAAAAGGAAGAAATAAATCTGTATGGATTATACCTTCATGCTCAGCCCTTTTCAGTATTCTACAAGCAAGTAGAATATTGAATTAAGAAACAACTTTAAAAAAAAAAAGAAAGATTAAATCTCTAGTCAGTACTTCTTGGCAATGCTGTTTTCAATCTGCCTCAAGCTCATATAAGCTATCGGTCCCGAGCATGTGTTAGGTTTGTACAATTTAACACCATACAGGAATCAGTTCCTCAGTATTTCTACTAATAAAACCCAAATTCAGGCTTATCTGTTAAATAGTTATTTTGTGGTTTAAAAGTTAGGGGTTTATGCCAGAACATTTCACAAATGAAATCCCAGAAATTAAGTGATCAAACATTTTTGTATTTACGCAAGATGCAACTTGAGCATTGCTTTTCACAAAGACAGACTCTTACAACAAAAACCAATAGATTTCTTAAATATATAAAAAGCATCTTGCAGTAGCAACTCTAATTTTTTCCTTTAATTCCAATTATCCAAATAAACATATAAAAGCTTTAAACAGCTATTAGAAGTGTGAAAATTCTACAGTAGTTTAAAGCTGTATGTGCATATACCCATCAAGTTTATAGTAGTGTAGTAATTTCTGATATTTTCAGAGATTGAATTTCAATCTCCCAGCATGGTCACATTTCAGTAAAATGCATGATACACATTTGTCATTATATCCTAATAGCTCCTAAGAATTACTTCATGTAATTCGCCTTTATTTTATTCATTTATGTATTTATATACATAAAGAAAAAAAAATACACAAAGCAAAAATCCCACAGAAAGTATCAGCTCGAAAGCCAAAATTTGTTTTAACTTAACCTACATTCCAGAACATCACAAACCTCCAAATACTGTGATGCTTTAGCTATAACACAGTGAGAAAGAAGGAATTTCAAGCTTGACTCTGTATTTGTCTTTCTGTGTGTAAGCTGATATACATATGTGATTCTGTTCATCATACATGTACAAACAGACTATTTTACCACCACTCGCACCTTCTTCCATTTGTTGCATATTCCCCCCCCCCCATTATTAGTGTACTTACCTGGTATCTTTGTTCAATCTCAGTGTTTAATTTAAGATCAACACCAGAACAATTTTCTGATTTTATAAATAATTTTACATGGGAAGAAGAACGCTCCCAAACTAGTTTCATTCATCATATGTCTTTCTCCTACTGTCCCAGCCTGCCTATTCACCAAAAATAACGGATGAACAGAGAGGTGTGTTCAGAAAACTCAATCTTTAGTTTACAAATTAAGGAGGTGTGAATAATTGGCAAGTATCTTTCACATTAATATATGAGGAAGACACAAAAAGGTAGATCAGGCTGCCACAGGAAAACATAAAAATGAAGGTCTCTCTCTCAATTATCTTTTTTTTGTAAAAAGAAATCTTAGTTCTCAAACCACAATGAGCAAAAGAAAAAAAAAAAAACCAACAAACCCCAAACGGAATTTGTTCATTCTTTGGAGAACACTGCATCAAACCAACATTTTGACTTCAAGTAACTTCTTTATGTTTCAAATGCTATAAAGCCTTAAAGTTTCTTGGGGAACTTTCACACAGCTCAAATTTGTCAAAACTAGTGATTTCACAAACAAAAAAAAGCACAGGATGTGGGGAACACAAAAATATAAGCGTGTCTACAGACACCTCAGAAGGCAACAAAATTACAGCAACATGTTCATGGAAAAAATTTGTTATGCATTTATGCATTTGAAAATAAACAATAGCATAAGATTTTTAGTTTGTTTTTCGAAACATGTTATCACCTTCAAGAAAATGAGAGAAATCACTGAACATTAAGAAACAAACTATATGTTTCTGTAAAGCACCAGAGCAGCCATAAAATAGGCTTTAAGAAGCGCAGAGAACAGTGGCACTGCTTGCATCTTTCACTCTATGGTGGATTTCAAATACTGAATCAGCTGCACAAAGCATGATTTCTCTGATGAATGCCAGATGCAATAGAATAGTGCCAGCCCCACATATGTGCTTCCTCAAAAATACACATTTTAAAAAAGAGAGATTAGGTAAATAATGTTCATAATAGCTTAATATTAAGAAGATCTGAAATAATCCTAGACAGGCACATATACCCAGGTCTTGAACAATGCTACCACGATTCACTTAAAATTCCATTATTAACTAGAAGCTTATTATTAAAATAACATACAAAAAAATAGGCATTTTCCTATTAATTTACAAGGTTTCTTAAAAGGCTAATTTCATACTTCACTTGATGTTTAAGTGGTTGCTAACACACTTACAGGACAGTTCCTACTTATACAAGCAAAAATAGAATGAATTTTACTTAAACTATCAGTAACATTTCCCCCCTACTGACACCAAAAAAATCCCAACCATGTTAGTTCTTAGATCACTCCAAAGCTGAAAGTATTTCAGAGAGCTGAGATAAGTTTTTGAAGAAGCATATGAGCCTCAGAAGTACATTAGACTTTAAATTATTTTGCTTACAGTGGTTTGAGAGCAGAAAAATCAGAGAAAAAACATGAAATATGGAGTACAAAGTCTACATACATATCAACTGTTACAATGTTAGTGTTTTTGTCTTTGCAATTCAGTCCAAATCCAGTTTAAATAGGAAATAAGCAATCAACCCAGTAACAAAAACATAAAATGAAAAACTTAACATTCAGCAGTTATAGAAATTCAGACAGATTAAGATTGGGACAATGTATCAGCTAGAAATACATCATTGAGTATCAGTTAAACTAGAAAAAAAAATAATTCTGTCTAAAAAAAAAGTCAGGACTCATGCTGATGAAGTTACATTACTATTCTGTTTGTACACATTAATTTTGACATTAATCCTTCTAAGTATCATTCTGTTGGACTCAGTTTTCTTGACTAATACAGGTTAGATTTGTCTTAAATCTATGTTCTCTTTTATATCTATAGGCTTTCTACAAGCAAAGGTAAGATGTTTCAAGGGAACATTCAGTTCATAGTAACTCTGTAGAGTGGATTATCAATGTACATGAAGCCTTACTCAAGTGAAGGTACAAAATCTTGCAAGAATTTCATTTTAAATCATGAAGTGTACAAACAGAAGAAGTGTAAATACCTGCTATGGTACATCTAAACTTTTAATAGAGTGTTGTTATTATTATAAACACATTTGGTAAATTATTCCAATTTAACCCATCTCTATAAATGTAGTACAGTACAAACTGAATTTCACTGTATACAAAAATGTTCACAATGGACCTTTAAAATCCTTCTAAACTAGATGTGTAACACTTAAAAAAATGCTAGTACAGTATCACAGTTATGACTATAGGTACACAATAAAGAGAAGTATAAGTGCCATTCATAGGTTGCAGGCACAGAGGCAACTTCATGTTATCTGGCAAAACACAGTAATATGGGGAGTAACTCTTTTCAGCACTGCTGATATTTATTAAATGACTGAGACTGTTAAATCCGTTTATGAATATTAATCAATGTAAAGAATGAAACAAAAAAAATGTATGGCAACATACATCTTAGTGAAAATGAAACATACAAACCAGTAGATAACTGTATTTTTTATATGTGTGTGTATATATATAAAAAACCAAAACTACAATAAAGCCCTTCTTCATTAAGACAGCAACAAGACAAAATGTTTACAACTTAACTTTAAAAAAATACCAAATGCTTTCATTTACATGCAGAATGCTAAATTTGCCCTTTAAATCAAGTATTTAGGACCTATTTTCTTCTTTGCACAAGGGAATCTTACCTACACAACCCCTCTGAAAAAAAAGAGAAGTCCGAGCACACAACAAAGTTGAAAGAAGTTGCATATATAAATCCCACCTGAACTGAGACTGAAACCACAGTCTCATTTTAAAATTGTGCTTTGGAAATTATAAAATGCAACCTAATGCTATTTGATGCGTTTTCTTGGGGTGACAGGGTAGGGAACCTGTACTTGGCACAGAAACTCCTTATCTACATGCACAACAAAAATCAAAGCTAGATTAATAAAGTATGCCAAGGGTAAAAAAAATTATCTTAAATTCCAGGTTATTAACCATTTTTAGTATGGCTTGCTCATCTCCACCAGAAGGAAAACACTCTGGAAAAGCACCCATCACTTGGCTCAATGGTTACCTCCTATTAATAACAACTATTTGCAAATATCACAAATACTCATTTATCATAAAAGGCAAAAATCCAGTTCAACAAAAGAAACTACATTTACTTTTGTTAAATCTGTACTTTTATGTTCTGATATTTCACAATTAAGAACCACAGTTGCTACTTTTATGCAATTGCAGAAATATTTCTAGCAATCCATTTTTTATGACAAAAAGTGGCATTAACAGATATAGACTGCCAACTTTATTTCAGCTGCCACGTTTCACCTTCCTACTTAAGCCTTTGACTTCCCTTCTCTAGGTCGATTACTGCTTTGTGTGTCCCTGTTAGTATATGAACCAAAGACAACATCCCACTGAATACTCAATAGATTAGAGCATTTAGTATCAGAATTTGTTCTCTCCAAAAGGAGTCAGTGACACAAAAGCCTGACTGAAAAACTGACATTTAACTAATACAAAATTATATTTTCACTTAGGAGTATACTACATTTCATATCATTTCTAAAAAGTTTTCGCTCTATTTAACTTCTGTAAATCAGCTTCCATGAATAAATACCACATGCAAATCTGAAAACTAAATCTGAGGGTAAATGTAAGAAATGGAAGTTCGGCAGACAGGTGAGTCTGCAAGCTTCGATTTTAATGTAGATGTAGCGTGAAATTCTTCTAAAAGGGGAAAAAGACGACTGCAGAGAAACTAACGGGTAGGGTTTTTCCCAATTGTCAAATATAAGGAATCACGAGTAGCTTGAATTCCCAATCCTCAAAATGGCACATTATATAATGTGATGAACATTTCTATGTATTTTAAAGCTCTCAGCAGTTTGCTGAAAAAAGTATTTTTTACCATGCTACTCTGTAGCTATCTAGACATTTCATGCATGCAAGACTGCAGATATATGAAATAAAAGAACAAATTAGTTTGTGAACAACCAGAAAAGAAACAATCCTTGCGTCATACATTTGTTTACCAGTCTTCAGAAAATTACTTTACTATCAGAGGGGGGAGGGAATGAAAAATCAGGGTGGTGGGGAACAACTGATCATAAATCTTATTGAAGATAACACCTGAATTTAGCTAGAAGGCAGAAGATATTGACAGGTCACATTTCATAAAATAAAGAGCAAAGTCAGGCTATATTTCCTGAATTTGAGTAAAACTCACTGGCAAAAAAACCAAACCAAAACCTAAAACAACGCCGTACTTGTGCAAGGACAGCAACTCTATGTACATGTGTTCCCTAAATTAAAATAATCCACACATGACATATGAAGGGCTCAATGCTGCCGTCCTTACACAAGTAGATTTTAAAATACAAAATTAGTATTTTAAAATACAAATAAGAAATACAACCATAAATTTAATATAATCTTCTAAGATAACAAAGAGAGCAGACTTATCAGTCTGGCTTACTGCTTTTTTAAGAATTGGTTTAATTGCATTTCATAAAAACTGCAAACATTACTACTACCTAAAATCAAAAAGGCAGCATGCAAACTGCAGAAGATAATCACACAAATACTCCCTCCCTCCCAAGACCAGTTACCTGTCGTCACTTACCTGTGTTCATGTCAGATGCTGCAAGAGGAAAGTGATTCAGTACATACTGCAGGACCATTGAAATGCAGCTATTAATAGCGTAAATAATCCCAAACCTAGAGTAGTTGCTTTTAGTAAGTCAGTAACAGTAAAATTCAAGAACATGAAACAAATGCTCACCTTCTTTAACGATGACGATATTCTCTCTCTCTGTCTCGTTCTCTGTCACGATCTCTGTCGCGATCACGATGCCTCTCTCTCTCACGGCTTCTTTCCCGGTAATAGTCATCGTGACGATCTCTACTACGTGATTTGTGGCGCCTACTTTTTTCTCGTGACCTACTATGGTCCCTCTCTCTGGATCGCTCACGTCTTCTAAAAGAAATTACTTCATTAAATTTTTCTTCAAAATAAAGCCATCCGCATGCCAATTTTGTATTCTGAGTATGAATTTCCTCAAAAAAGGATATGAGAGAAATATCTGTTCACTGTGATGCAGGTATGTTTTTGTATATAATATGAAAGATCGCTGGTATAAAAGGTGGTGGCTAAGAACTCAGTTACAGACAGTAAGGTGCATCCACTTTCTAATCTATCAAGGAAAAGTCAGAAAGTACATACTGAGAATGGAGGATGAGATGGCTGAAATCAGGTGGGGGAATGCACCGTAGCTCAAATGATCACTACAACATGGCTGCTAATCTGTGTACTGAAAGTATGTGCCAAAACCAGCTGTCTTTGTGCTTTTAATATTCAAGGCCAACTACACTACTGCTACAGTATACAAATGAACTAGAGGCTCAGTATTTGTCCTAACTCGGAAAGGGCCGTTATTTAAGTTTTGAAAGAAATACCGATCTCTTATTTGTACTAGGTAGAAGAGTCCATGAATTTCAAATCTACCTACTCCCGATTTTTAGACTGTATGACAAAGAACAACGGGCAAAATCATTCTGCCCAACTTTTTTTTTCCCCCAACTTGAGTGTATTTCTACTGTGACAAGGGTGGAGAAAGTTACTTTTAAGCAAAATGAAAATTGGCAAATATCCTCAACCTTAATTTTCAATAGCAAATTCTAATAAAAATTATGCACTGGGCATCTTAATTGATTAAGGACAATTCTATTTTGAAGTCTACATATTGCAAGAGTACCACGTAGGAAAGGATACTAAATAAAACTAAGTTAAACTTAAGCTAGTCAGATCAATTTTGAAAAGAGGGTTAATTAAAAGGCAGCTAAATTCGGGAAACCCCTATTTGGTTCTTTCACACATTTCTTGTGCAACTCAGCAAATCACTAAGCTTCTTACATGACTTAGTTTCTTCTTGGTGAACTAGTCCCGCGCTACACCTTCCCTTTTATAAGTAAGGGCAGATGGAAGAGGAAAGTTTTACCTGGATCCAGAACCATAAGACTTGGACTCAATTCCATGAAGGCAGTCCTGAAGAGAGCTAATAAGTACTTTACAGCGATCATCCGCAGATACTTTGGACTGTTTAATTAAGGAAATTGCAGTTACCAAGGTCTCTATAGCACTTCCATAGTCCCCTGAAAAGGATACAAGATCACAATCAGAAAATTTTGCAAATTAAAACAAAGATTATCTGTAATAATATTACCATTTGGAGTATCTTCTCTTCAACCCCCGTCCAGCCATTACTGTAGACCCAAATATTAAAATACTGTCCAGATCAGTACTCGGAAGGCATTCTCAGAAACTAGTTGGAGCACAGTACAAAATCAGTCACAGGTTGTACCTAAATTCAGCCTCCTATTGGGAAAATGTGGCTTCAGGGCTGCAAGTTTCCTAATAGGAAAACTATAAACTCTTTTCAGTTGGATAGAATAGCAAATACACTAATCGAGTTTTACTAACCAGCACTGGCATCTGATACAGCTCTCGAAATGGCACTGCTTGAGATCGCCCTATTTCTATTCATGATTTCTTCAAATTCTGCTTCACTTAGAGGTGTCCTTGCAGCATCCATTTCTCTGCAAGCAATAAAATTAGTATTTAAAAGGTTAAGAAAAACTTAAGAAGATATCATTGCAATTTTAACAATCCAAGTTTGCAACTTTAAGCAAAGTGACAAACAGAAAAGAAAGCAGGATCTGGGTTTGGTTTTGGTTTTTGTTAAGGACCATGTTACAGTATAAAATCCTGAAAGCTAAAAAAAAAAAAAAAAAAAGAAAAGGTAAAAAACAATTAAGACATTGCTGTATAAATAGACTTGTTCATCCCATCTATTTTGAAGATTCAGCAGCACTTAATATTGTGCTTTACAAATATTTATAATTTTCATTAAATCCTTGAAGGTATGTAAGTAGATATTATCCCAATTGAATGGACGTGGAAATACATGTACATAGGCAATGCGACTTTGAGCAAAATTAGAGATCATTTTTATAACAGTACTGGAATTAGAACTATATGATCCTGTTTCCCAGATCTTAACTAAGACCAGAATGCTATAACTTATGAAAAGCAAATATAGTCTATCATCTTTGAAACACTCAATTTTCTGAATGATACTTCAACATTTTACAGCTAATTTTGGTTTTTTATTTCTGGTCAAGTTCAACGTGCTCCAATTTGATCTCCAAACCAGTCACAGTAAGGAGGAAGCAATAAAGCAGAATCCTCGTACTTATTACACTTTTTAACTTTAATTATTAGCTACCTATATAGGGTTTCCAAAGTAACAGAAGTTAACCTATACAAAAATTTGCCCCAAAGTTTTGCAGTGTCCTATTAGCCAGTCTCTATATCACATAGAGAATTTGGAGAAATGTGTTAGAGACAAATGTTGAGACTGTTAAACTGGCCCACTGCTTGATATTTCTAGAACAGTGTTAGTTCTTCTGGTAGAAAGAAAATGCAGAATAATAAGCAATGCTATCCTCTTAATTGCAAGAAGTGGAACAAGATCCTATAGCCAGTTTAGCATAAGAGGAAATGTCTAAAAATTCATACCTCCCTGAGTTTTGAGTATTATTTTTCGTGTGCCTCCCATAGAATGGAATATGTAATTTTTCTCTTATGGACATGTTATTTCCAGTGAAACGCCTATGATATATAATTAATGACAATTTAAATAGTTATGGATGATAGTTTTAACATTGTTAATGAAAATACTGGACAGTAAGTTATACTGTCCTATTCCCACTCCTTCCCTCCCCAGACATTCTATAAACTGCAGGCAACCTTGATTTTGTCCATCAAATAAACAACCAACACCTTATCATTTTATTATATTTCAGGCAATTAAGCCAAATGCTTGAATTTCTATAGTTTCTGTATGAACATAGTATGTACAGATGCCTGGGGTTTTTTAAGCTTTGTGATAAAAGAAGAATCAAAGCAAAGTGTCTGCAGAAAACATTTTGAGCAAGACAAGTGTCTCTCATGCTAGCAGTAAAATCACAACTGAAAAATCCAAATGTAACTATGTAAAAAGTGTCTTTCTTACAATTTCTCCCAAAATTTTCTGTGACAAATACAAATATGGTGAAAATCAAGCAACAGCAGCAACACAGAGATGCTTGAAAGCACAGATGAAAAAGATGTTTCAAACAAGATGTGAAAAACTTGACAAGTCAAGTCAGAGACTCAAGAACTCTGTCCCAGATAGGATTAACCATAGGAAAAGCCACTGCTACAAACACAGCAAGACTGCACCAAATGAGCAGAAGCATCTTGACAGGAAAGGAAGGTAAAAGTCTTGCAGTAAATTCATGCCTGGCTTTTGTGACAAAGACTAACTTTGAATTGAATCCTGAAGCAAAAAAGGGACAAGCAGAGCTGCTGAAAGATGAAAGTGGTATGAGCTTGGTATGGCACTGTACTCAACGTATGCACATATTCAAAAAGGAGAACTCCAGAGCATTCTGAAAAGACAACTTGCAAAGCACAATGATAAAGGTACAAGTCCGAATTTCAAGTTAAGACAGAAGCACAACCAGAAGCTGCTGCATAGGAAGTGATATATAAGTTTACGTGTAGAACACATGGAATGATGACACTGCCAAATACAAACAGTGAAGACAAACAGTTCAGAGCTGAAAAGGGAAAGTGAGACTACTGGTGTTGCAATTCAGGTTTTTCTTACTGCTACAAACATGTTTCTCCGAGATATTTCACCGAGAGAAGTGAAAAGGGGCAAATTAGAAGACTGTTGGGATCCCTTTCAGCCCTATTTTTCATTATTTCTAACATTTGCATTAAAATGGAAAATCAAACGCTTCCTACAAGGGAAGTAAACTCTACTACCAAGCACATTACACCAAAAGCACTCACCTTCCAGGTGGCCCATAGTCACCTCTGTCATATGGTGGAGGTCGGCCATACGGATCTGTCGGAGGTGGGCCACGGCTGTCTGATGTAGGTATGCCACTATTGGCAGGTGGGGGGAAGAAAGCTGGATTCACATGTGGTGCAGGTGGTGGAGCACCTGGAGGTGGCCCAGGGAGATGTGGAGGAGGAGCAAGAGTCAGGGGTGGCCCAAGAGGGCCAGGCGGACGAGGGGGAAATGGACCCGGAGGTGGAGGTGGACCCTGCTGAGGTGGTGGCGGACCTGGTGGTGGTCCATAGCCTGGAACTGGTGGTGGAGGGCCTGGAGGAAGTGGCCCAAGTGGAGGCTGACCAAAAGGCTGTCCTGGAAACAGAACTGGTGGTGGTGGACGGTCACCACGATTAGGAGGTCCAGCTAATGGAGGTGGGAGGACCTGACCAGGAGGTGGAGGGCCTGGTGGGCCTGGCGGGCCAGGAGGACCTAAAGGTGGACGTGGGGGAGTTTGTCCAGCTAAAATAAAAAAAATAAAATAAAATTTAAAAAAAAAAGTTAATAAATATAAAGAAATAAAAGGCTTAGTGAAATAATTAAAATTCTTGTCTTTTTTTTTCTTCTTAAAAACAACAAAAACCCAAAAACAACCCTCACTGAACAATTTGCAACTTCCACAAGACATGCATGGTCCCACTTTGGGTCCAGTAGCTTAGAAAATTTTTAACAGTTGCTCGACTATCATTATCTAAAGAGAACAACATTAACTTGAGAACTGACAGCTCACCCCCCCCCAATCACTTAATCATCTACTATTGTTACCAAAATCCCTAAAAGCTTACAAAAACTTGCAAACATTGCATCCTACTTACACCTGCAGCTAGTCTTTCGTATGGGGCATAAGATACTATATATTAAAAATATAGGAAAAGCTATATTGGAGAAGGCAAATGCAGTATCCAAACCTACTTTCAGGTCCTCATTAGAGGTTTTTCAATTTGACCACATCCCTTTGACTGTTAGTAGACAATCTACTACTGAATGACATTTATTAAAAATACTTAAGCAGAAATAAGAACTTCACTGCAATGCAAGCCTGATTGTTCAACAGAGGTTTCTCCCGTACCAGATACCTGACTAAACATGAACACTTTCCCCTCAAATCTGTGGTATTCTAAGTGCCAACTAACTGACCTGTCAGTGGGCATGAATCAAAGCTGAATTTCTGATGATGGGCAAACTTGTAATGCAGTAAGGAAAAGTTACCTTACACCCTGCAACACAGGCATTCTCACCCCATATAGCAAATCAGAAAATCTGAATTACACTGCACTAAAGACAAGTCTACTTGCTAACACAATCTGTCTTAATTTCTTCATACTTTAAAAATATGTACATTGACACATTATAAAGAATGTCTCTAAAAAATGTTATTATATTGCTATCAAATTTAGGAAGTACAACTCCCTGTTTGAATATCAAAGAAATATTGTCGGATCCTACAATCCAGCTGTGAACACTGATTATAGCACATGACTGAATTGCCTTGATCTTTATAATTTCCCAAATAAGTATGCCGCATTAATACAAGAAAACACAAATGAAACTGAAACTCCACATATGAATTATTTTACCTGGGAAAGGTGGTGGTGGCCCGCCTGGCCCCGCCGGTCCAGGGAATCTGTCTCCACCTGGAATGGCACCTGGAAAACGGCCTCGCCCTCTATTACTAGGTGGAAATGCTGCTCGTGAGCTTCCTCCTGGGGGACCAGCTTTACCTTCCCCAGACATCTGGCCAGACTGTGTGGCTGCAATGGAAAAGCAAAAGTGTAATTACACAAATCAAAATAGGTTAAAGCTTTTCAACACTTGATTTAAAGTTTCATGCAGCGCTAAAGCACGACCTTATGAGCACCGACTTGTTCCTCGGTACCCAAACCATTTGAGGAGGAAAAAGTGCTTTGCTAAAATACGGCAGTGTTCCAGTATGCCCCATACTAACAGAATAGCATCTGGGGAAACTGTCAGTCCTTCCTTTAATGCAGCCCAAGGCCACACACTATTAGGACTGGGAACCACAAGACAAGGTGCTGGAGGAAAGCACAACACAGAATCTCTCTTCCCCATTTTGTCATAAGCGCAGCCTGTCTAGATATCAGAATTTAGTCCAGTTTGTCTACAAATGTTAAATTTCTAAATGCTCTTGTGCTTTTTTCCAAAATTACATCCACAAGAAATTGAGAAAGCTTCTCCAGCTGTAAGACAAGATTTTCACAAAGCTGCAACCTTCTTCCAGTGAGTGCTGCCGAAACAGCAGCTCTTCAGTGTATTCAGTGATTTTTTTTTATTTAAGAGAATCATCTTTAAACAAAGATGCAACTTCATCCACCTGGACTGTAAGTATTTTATAGCTATTTTAAACTGTGTAGAAGTTATCAGATGCTGAGAGAAAAACTGCCATGCCACTTTTGGAATAAACTTCTGTTTTTCCAAGACAGCACATAAGAAAGGCTTACTTTTCCTTGACTGCATTTCAAACTGACTCAGAAATTGTTTATTGCATGGAGTTACAACAGGATTCTGCCCATGCAATTCTCTTTTAGGCAACAAATCCATCAACTTTTTGGAGGATGCTTCCGATCCCACACCCACAAGGGCAAACCTGAAAGGAAGAAGAAAAAGTTACACCACAGTTTTTCCATTTCCTGGATATCCTGATGCCTCATGAAAAAGGTTACACAGTAAGCAAAAGAATACTTGAAAAATAGATACAGAGACTGTTTCACAGGTCTTAGTCCAGTTTTCAGAACAGATAAAATAACTCATTCCAGGACACAGAAGAACCAAGAGTGCAAGTACAAAATGCATCAAAATATACCACAACAAAGGCAGCTTTCTGGTAGAGTATCAATACACTATCTATGAATTCATATGACCACGTTATTATTAAGCATTCACTGTGTTGTCATTACTACTAAGGAGAGAGAAAGGCACATTCACGGAAGGAAGATTAGGTTGCCAGTGAAAAATGGTCTCAAGCACTCACTTTCAACAGTTAATGGAAAATAAAGATGTAAAGAAAGATTTAATAATGGAGGTTGGGAAACAGTATTTACACTATGAGGAACAACAAGGATCATCACCACACTAACTGAAATCTAGGAATAGTCTTAATGAAGATGGCCAACAAGTTTTAACTCACAAAATAATGAGACACACAATACCGTCAAAAAATTTATGCCTGAAATTCAGGTCATTAGTATGAAATGATACATCCAATCATCGCTGGATATCAATAAACAAAGATTATCAGTTCACATACTGACAGTTATGAAAATTGAGAACTCTTTCTCCATTTCCACCCTCCCAAACTTCAGTCCATTTACAGAAAAAACAAATGACAAGTTCTTACCCTTTAGACTGGCCATTAGCACGATTTTCAAAAAATTTTATCTCCAAAATATCATTTACCCCCAGTGAATGAACTGCTTCAGTTAAGTCTTCATCTGTTGTCCACTGAAAAATATTTTTAATATTCAACTATGAAAGCTTATCCAAAACACCAGGAAAAGGGCAACTAAGTTTTCCATGGGTTTTTTTGTGCGTGTGTGAAATTGGTCAAGAGGAATACTTTATTCAGGCTATCAATATTTTCTGACTTTTGGAGAGCAGTCATTTATACTTTATAATTCTCAGAAAATTAATTTTAAGAATATACACACTTCCCTATATACTACGTTGCATCAACCCCCCTCCACACAGTATACCAGTTACAGAATGCCAAAAAATTTTGTATTTGAGTAACTTTTGTCTCCTGAGACTACAAGGCTTAAACTGGACTATTTCAATAACTGTTACTTTTTCCACAACCAATCCATTTTTTCCTCCCACTGATTCTATTATTTCCACACAAAAGTCAATTTTAAACACTGTATTAACCAGGCACTCTGAGAGCTTTGACTAGTGAGAGTTTAGTGAACTACATATTATTTGCACAAAAACAAGCAGGATTTACAGAAAAAATATGGGAAACTAGTACAGAAACTATGGCTAGAAACATCTGCTTCCACTTAACCAAACCTACTTGCTGCAACTTCCTATTAATTACTATGTAATGTTTAACAATTTCACTCATATCCAAAGATACACCAATACTTATGGTTTTCTTCCTACTTCTGTAACTCCATCACTTCTTTAAATTTCATATGGGAAGTGCAAAGCAGGCTTTCAAGATTCTGAACTACTTATCTGATCTCCTTCAAATCAAGACTTCTTTTAAAAATTCAAGAAATTACTTTGCTGAGAGCTAAACGCAAAGAAAACAAACACAATAGCAATACTAAAGTAGATAAATGCATTTTTTGTGGATAATTTTATTTGTGAAGCCAAATAATGAGTAATAGGTACAAATCGCTGAACATTGGCCTACCTGCTTTAGAAATTGTGACATTTGACTTGGAGTTCAGCTAATTCATATGCATTTTATGGATTCCATTCATATATTTTAGAATGGTACAACCGTTAAGTCAATGGCTCCTTTACTTACCTATTAGCTCCCAAAATTAGGATACTGTAATAATTAATGAGAAAACACCTAAGCACCCATAAAGCATTCTTTTTCAAGTTTAGCACTAGTAAGAAATTAATCAGAAGGGAAAAAGCCTTGAATGAGAATTTTGCATGTGTGGACCTGGAAGAACTGGATTTCAGGCAAACGGATAAAATCTCCAGTTAATTCAGCTACTGACCAGCTCTTGCACTTTGCTTAACTGCAATTGATTTTAAAATGCTTTAATGCTAACAAAAGTAACTGTCTTAAGGGCAATTGCAGTTCAGTGAGTTATCCCAAACCTGTTACTCCTAGGACTGCAGAAATAAGCCTCAAGGCAAATACCTGAAAACAGTTTTGTTGTAAGAGTCACTGCCCTGCAAAAAAGGAAGTGGAAAAGGGCCCTGGAAAAATGTGAAAAGTAATTTCAAGAAAGTCCCAGAGAAACTCCCAGCTCCTTTTTAAACTAAAAACTTCAGCAAGAGTTTACTAAAAAATGCATTTGTTCAGTAGCCTTTAAGTATCTGCAGGCATAAAGTATTTCAGAGTTTAAGCTTGTTCTCCTCTTTCATTCAGTTCTCTGAAAACCTTAAGAAGATAGTAGCACAAATATCCCTTCATAACGCTTAAAACATGAGAGGAAGCTTTAAAAAGTTTATATTTACTGAAGATTTCCTCAAGTTTTTAGACATCAAGACAGCTCCAGACAGGCTCACTAAATTTCAGGTAAAAGAAAAAAAAACCAACAAAACCCCACATGCTTTGCTGTACTCTTAATATTTCATATAAAACAATTTTTAAACCAAAAATATTTACAAAGAATTATGTTCATAATTTTAAAATTCCTGACTACACCTAAATAGTAGTAAGATACTTACCCAAGTAAGATTTCCAATGTACAAGGCAATTCTCTTTCCAGTATATGTATAGACAACATTTGGTGCAGCTCCTTTACCTACATCATCCCCAACAGATGGTGGGAGAGAATCCATGTAATCACGATCTTCTGGGGCATCTCCATTATTTGCAGATGGAGAAATTACATCATCATATAAATCAATCTGATCATGTCCACCATATTCAGCTTCCTAAAATACAAAAGACACCTTGATTATATTTAACATTAAACACTCTTAAAACTTACTTGAAAAAAATGCTGTGATAACTGCCACGTTCCACAGACATGGTAAGTCTGATCCAACACCTACACAACATCCCTGCTGAAAAGCTAATCCCCAGTTTCATCCACATTAAAGTATATAAAATTCTTATGACTTCTGTTATATTCTAAACTGATTGGGGGGGGGATCAAAAAAAAGTATTTTTGGCCACTGTTTTGCAATACCTTTGCCCTTGCAAACAGAAATCCAAAAACCCGCAAGCCCTACTCCCAGAATTATAGACATTAGCAAGCACGAGCAACGTGCAAAATGAGAGGCTAACATCCACTCTCAAGCAAATCTTTTTTCCATCAAAACATTTGGTAGAGTGAACAGACCCAGCTTCTAGAGAAGCCCTACTGTCAAACACAACATTCTACCTTTCAGATTTCTACTACATTTCTAACTTGATTTTTACCTCCTCATTCACAGAGGGGCCAGACAGGAAAAGAATTCTATTTTGTGTCATTAAATTTAATAAACCCAAGGGTTTGTGTTTATTAAACATTTATTTATTCATGGGCTACAGACGGACTATTCTACAGCATCACGGCTGCCTCTGGAACATTTTGGTTCAGACAAGCATCGGGGGATTTTGGACTGAATCACTCCCTTCTCCCTTAGTTGGGAGGGTTGGTACAGGTTACAGCACAACTCTGGCCAAGTGAACTAGATTCCTTTCAGAGGGAATGGAAATGAGAGTTTCTTTCCAGAAGCTCTGCTTCATGTGTGCTCAACAACTGCATCCTGCCTGCTAAATGGGAACAGACGGGTCAAGACCAATCAGTGGTCCTTCAGACAGCTTAGACTCATAAGTGTGGTAGGAATATTTGGTCCAAAAGGCCAGACTAAATTTAGTCTGAAGTAGACTATGCAAACAGTGTGTTAGGTAGACAGGGGGGCCTGAGCACCAACTGCCTCAATCTGCTGATGTGCTACTACCAAGCCATATTACATTATCTATTATAAAGAGAGCTGTACTGTCATCACCGAAGACAGACAATTAAGAGAAGGGCAAAACATGTTGACTGTAAGTGATAATAATCTCCTTCACAAAAACATGCAAAAACTCTTTTTAATACACAGTGTAACCTTAATCAGTGGGATCGCTTAATTCCAAACGTGAATGAAGCTGGGTGTTGTATATTTGCATCAAGGAACTATTTTTGAAACAAAGACTTCTTCTGATACTTGCCATTTTTGATCTTATATACCGTCACTCATCATAGTCAATGATGATCAATTCCACAATGGGATGCTGCTATCCTTTTTTACTATCCTAGCAATCACTTATGACCGAACAGCCCAACCTGCGTGCGAGAGAGGCACCATCTAAATGTCTACTGACAGGAAGGCAATAACTTCTCAGTGAACAACAGCGGTCTGACAAAGCTTAGGAGAGCCTAGCAGTGTTTAATGTTAACCTTCAGCTTTTATATTGACTTTCACAGGTTGCTTTGCCACATGCAAAATTTGGACTTCAAAAGCCTGCAGAAGGTTCCTGGGTTCTTCCACCCTGATTCAGAACAGAAATTGCCTCACCAGGTTTTGATATCGAGATATTTCAGCATCCACTATCTTGTGAATTTGTATCTAAAAACCCACACAAGCATAGACTAGATAGATATAGATAGAATACTAGAATAAATATAGATAGAATACACTAGATAGAATAGTACAAGGTACCAGATATGGCAACTAGAGAGAATCAAGTTGGATTCCACAGAAAACAGGCTGCAAAGCTAGCAATCTTGGTTGAAAACCCAATATATCCACAACCATCATCAGATGATCAGCTGTCTTGAAAATAAGAAAATATTATCAACTGCTACTCATACAGAGAGAGTATCACTAAAAAAAAAAAAAACAACCAAAACCAGCAAACAAAAACCACACACCACCACCACCCCCCCCAAACAACAAACAAAAAAACCAGGTAAGCTAAGTTTTGGCATTGTCATTTGATCCTCAGTAAACTGCACTGTCCCGATACACCCAAAACTTCAACAGAAGATTTCTCTCTTAATGATTATAAACTTACCTTAAGTAAGGGCTTCATATTTTCACCTAGTCTGTCCAGTTCTCTGTTTGATTCCTCCTGTCATCATTACTAATGAAAGTAGGTTCAAAGAACTGCCTGGGACAGGCCTAAACATGACATCTTACAGCAAGATTAAGGATGATGTCACAAGGCAATTAAGGAAATCCTCCGCTAAACGTGCAGTAATTCTAGTCATCTGTGTGTATGGACAATGACTTCAGGGAAGTAGAATTTAGTCTTGGTAGACAGATCCAAACGGGCAGCCACCGGTCTTACAGCAGATGTACGCTAACCTACCTCTCTGAGAAGGCTGAGGTCAGCATTGCCAAAATACCAGCGTAGGCAGCCGTCCAGAGCTCTGCTGCACTTCCCTAGTGGCAAGAAACTCCTCTGAAATAGGTCAAGTTTCTATCACATAGGCTTTCAGGTCACCATGAAAGGAGGGAGAGAATTATCAGGGCAGTGCAGTCCGCATGTAATTTGGGGGGGGGGGGCAAAGTGTCTGATAGCATCAGTGCCTTAATTTAAATCAATAAAGACATAACAGAAAACCTGATGTTGTTCACCATAATCTCTTCTTACATCGTGCTGGTTTTGCAGCCAGCATGGAATTCATTCAGTCACCAGTCTGTCAACAAGGTGTGTGGTTCAATGATTAAGAATGATCTGAGTCAGCAACTGCATGTGTAGACTGAAGAGAGGTGTCTCGATGGCTGTTGCACAAGATTCAACAACCCTTCCTCCTTCATATGTGTACCATGGAAACTTACCTAAACGCATCCTTCTTTCCTAGATGCAGAAGAGTAAGAAAAAGAATACAGGAAGTGTTACTTCTCTAGTCTTAGCTATTTCAGCAAATGCTCTGCCCGTACCAGGAATTGTTTTTGACCTCTTCCGACTTCCTTAGTTAAGAGAAGACCATCAAGCACAAAGAAACTATTTCTGCTCAATTACAGTCATTCACAATCTTACAGATAAAAATGCTAAGAAACAAAGTCAGCATCGTTATTCTGGCCCCCTCTACAACTGACTCAGTAGCAATGCCTTTCCAAAGCCCATGTCTTAACTAGACCACAGTCTGAAATACTAGATCATTTGCTCTGGAAAATCAGGACTGAAATTCCACATTCTGTGCTATTAAGTGGGACTGGGTGAATTAAAAGGGCACTGAAAAGATACGGTCTCAAAGATTCATGCCAGACTAGCTGATACACTTCCAGTTACTCAGCCCTTCCTCAACATTCTGTATTTTAATTACCGATTGCAGTGTTTTGCAACATTCAAATATGAAAGCCATAAACACATGGAACATCACGGTCATGTCCAGAAAGGACAAATTAAAAGTGTTATTTCTTTTTGGAACTTAGCAGCCATACTCCTCTGAGTTGCAGAGAAGAACTGGTCACTCACTTTACAAATGCTGTTTTGGAAACTGGCTTTTTTTTTCCCCCCATAAAGTTTCTTTAAAATGTACATACATCTCTTAGACTTGCTTTTTCCACTCAACTCTGTTCAATTGAAGAGTTAAACACTAAATTACACCTCTAAAAAGACATTAAAAAAGCCTCCGTGATGTAAATAAAATTTCATTTAAAAAATTTGTTATTGTTTCTGAAAAAAAATGTTCAATTAAGAAAAAGCAGATTATCCAGCTTCTCCCTTCTCACTTTTTCATTCAAGTTACAGTATATGTGGTCAAAAACTCTAAAAACACATTAGCATCCTCACTTTAAAAAAAGTTTTTAGGTCCTGAAGAATAACAGGTTAAAGAGATAAGCAAAAATCTTTCTGGTTTCCATTAGCTGCCTGAACACAGACAGGAACCTTAACAAAACAGCAGGCCTTTGATGTTTCTAAAATAGCACACTGCCTGTGGCAGAAACATCCACCATGGTGGACAAGTTTGTTAGACTGTAAGATTCACGTTTACACTACAGGCCCAAACGCTCTCGGCTCTACAACTGGCACACCACTAAAATTTAAGCAATCTGATCCCTTGTCAAATAGAGTAACTAAAAATCCACAAGTAGTCAGAAGTATAAATTAAATGTAGGTAGTATTGCTGTTTGCATTAGAACAAAGCTAAGAGGCACCAGATGAGATGGTCTCAAGTTTGCTTTGTAGTTTGATATTTGCTAATATACAAAGGTTATCTCCTCCCCAGGCCCCTTTCAGCAGATCAACAGAACTGATGAAATACAGACACAATAAGTATTGCGCATACATTTTATAATAAATGCAAGTCTGCCAGCTTATGGCTTTTTATGACTAGGACAGCTCTGCCCTTCTGAGTAGAAATTTATTATACCACAATGTGTCCATCCCCTCCCATAATGAGACAACCGCCTTTCCCAATGTAAAGGCTGTTTTTAATAACCTGTTTTATGTGGCCATTAAATGCTAGCTTTTATTATTCGTTACACAAAAAAAAGTATTTTTCTCTGTGTTACAGACAAGGAGTCAAGAGAGTAACTAACACGTTCCTAAGAATCTGTAGCCACAGAGGTTTCCAGATAATGAGCCTCTTAGCTGCTTACTCCATCTAAAGCACTCTTATTATCCAGTTACAAAATACAAAGTCAAAACTCTTTCATTTCTAATTTGTTAACATTTAAATATCAAATTAGAACACTACAGGCATGTTTAGACATATCCACAATGCAACTATGCAAGTATACTCATTAGAGTGTAATCAAAGCAAGTGCTCTTTCCACAGCATTAAAATAAGAGATCCTTAAATTGTTTTGTATGCTCTGCTTGGTCAGGATTTTTATACGTATACCTACGTATAGTATGTATAATAAAAACAGTTTTTTACTGTTTAATTATATGCATGTGTGTACATGAAAAAAACCAACCTCGGGAAATGCAAAGCTGATCAGAGCATCGGAGAACTTGACAACGCATGGTCACATCTTCATGCCTGCAGGAAAGTAACCCAGTTTGCTGGCCAAAGTTGCAGGCAACCTTGAGTCAGACCCAAGGTGGCCTCATGCACAGGCTCCTCATTATCTCAGTATCATGCACTGATACCCCACGTTTTTGTGCACAAAAACACACTGTGATATTTGCTAAAGCACCCCTAATCTTACTGTGGTCTTCTGCCATCAAGAGAATGCCAGCCTCAGCCATTTGTATGCCGATAATGCAGTTCTCAGGTGCAGCACCGATCTCTCTTTCTTGAAGAGCAAGATGCATAACATGTAGGGAGATGGTCAAAGTAAAATATGCCATGCAATACCTATCTCTTACAGGTCACAAGCAACGTATGCAGGAAGTATTACATTTATGAGACTCTCATCTCAAAATGAGACTTTAAATAAATACGAAAGACTGCTGGATGGGGAAGCCAGCTTAGAAGAACAAAATGGAAAATGACTCAACCAACTTCTCAAAAAAAAAAAAGAGAGGCAAAAAAGGAAAGCACAATTTAAAAAAAATAAATACAACTGGTGGGAGCCAAATTGAGTAAAGCTGTAAGCCCAAGGACAAAGAATACGATTATGATGAACAATAAATTAACGAAAGGGTAAGAGGCAACACACAGACAAAGTTTTGATGAACTCCAGATGGAATGGGAAAGATGCATTTTCACTAAAAAGATCTGACTTGAAGTTAGCCAGCTCATTGCAACCAACACTTAATACAACCCAAGACAGTTCTCAGTTTTCACCCATCTTAGCCAGCTTGTAAACCCATGGCTCTGCGGTCTTTATTTCACCCTTATAACCTGTGGTTCATTTAGCACTAATCAAGCAGAACATCCCTCCCACCCTTCTGGAAAAAGGCATTAAAAAAAAAATCCCAGAAGAGCCTGAAGAATGAGTACCTTGAGGTCCAGAACACGACAAAATAACACAGGGAAGCTCATCCAGCCACAAGTCCTAAATGACCCATTTACTACAGATGCAAACAAAAGTTTTGTCCCAGCCTGGGTATAAATACAGTTATACTGTACCCAGAAGAACAACAAAACTACACAGTGTATTTTTCCGTTCCTGCCACTGGCAAAACTAGAGGAAAGGGTTCATATAGTCCAATTCGCACTAATATTGGTAAGTCAAATTAATATAGCACAGCACAATCCAAAAACAATAGCTTATTGCTTTACACATAAAGCAATTTTTCCTTACAAATATGGTGTTCCATAAAATGTCCGCTACACAAACAATAATGCAAATCACTTTCTCCCTACAGCATTTTCTCAACTGTCATCTTTAACCATCCACAGATATGCAGAACCATGTCCTGTCTTATCAATTTAAGCTGTCAGCTTCAAATCAGAAACAGTAATTCACGAATAGAAGCTTCTAGAGGACACATCACAATGATGTCAGAATTAGAGGTAGTAAGTAATATCGTAGACAGAAACAACTAGCCTTCTTTCATACTTGACAGAAGGAAATGGAAAAGTGCAGAGGTATCAATCCCTTCCAGTAAAATTTTCCATTTTAAAGTAATATAGTTCAATTGAGCAGATGCTGAGACAACATGAAAGTCACAAAAATGAAATTTGGAAAAGAATAAACAGCAAAATTTTGGAAAAAAAACCCCAAACCCACCACAACAAAAAAAACACAAAAAACAAAGCCAAGCTGAGGGAAAAGGGGCACTAGCCTCTTCTCACTTTTCTGCCCTATATTTTGCAAGGTTCACCAACCGAGGAAGCAAACTGCAGAAACACAGCCCCAGCAGGACAGCAACTGGGGCGAATACAGCGAAAAGAGCAAAAGGGTCTCCTGACTGCTGGAATAAGCTAAACCAAATTATCACAAGACTCTTCATCTGTACCATCATCCTTCCTTGCACCATGGCTATAGGGAATATCGATATTAACCATAACCTGAATAGACCAGGACAGTGTGAGTGAAACAGATCATCCCCATCACTTTCGTTCTGGCAGTACCTGTCTGCACTATAATCACAGTACAGAACTATTCTACTCTGAGGGCTTCTGCACACATAAATTTACACAAACACTACTGGATTCAAATTAGTTTTTTCTGAAAGACTTGTTT